CACTAGGTCCTCTGCGTGTATGTTATAGTTCTGTAACCTGGTATTCTTGTGGGACTCCTAATAGTGGGACTGGAGGGTGACTGAGTCTTTAGCCTGTACCTTGGACTCTTTTCCTACTACTAGGTTGCCTTGTCCAACCTTTATATGAGGGTTTGTGCCTGGTCTTATTGTATCTTGTGCTGTGCTGGGTTGATATCCCTGGGAGACCTGTTCTTTTCTCAAGGGAAATGGAGGAGCAGTGGATCTGGGGAACAGAGGAGGTGTGGGGGTTGGAAGGAGTGGGGGGAGGGGAAAATGCAGTCAGGATGTACTGTATGAGAGAAGAATAAACAATAATAATAAGACAAAAGTAGAGCAACTGCCCTTCTCAAGTATGAATTCTCAAAGTATAAACTAAGTACCCATTTTCCTGGAAAAGCCAGAGGCTTCAGATAGGAAAAACACACTGGACAGCTTCCTATACTTATATAGAATAACCACTTTTTGCTAGCAAATCAATAGAAAACAACTTTGGATTTTCAAGTACTAGATATTTTGGAATAGATTTAGAATGCTTAACTATTTAGTGCTAACTTAACCTTCTTTCCTGAAAGCACAGAACACACCACAAAGCAAAATACATACATACATACATACATACTTAAATAAATAAATACCCCAACCATGGTGGAAAATTTTTAAGATTCTGTTATGTAGCTGCCTCTGTCATTGGTGAAACTGTCTAGAATAATTGAGGAAATGTTAGTCTACCTTTGTTAGATAGATCAGTCATCATTACAGCCATTGCCATATGGCATCTAGCTTCCAAGTCATTGGTCTATTATGAACCCAGTTCTGACAACCTGACTTTATTCCATAATCCAGCCACGTCAGATTAGCTAAGAACAGCTAGTCATGTCTGTGCTACTCTGCCGAGTAGCAGGTTAGTTGATAGGCAGGTGGCTTGATTTTACAGCACAGAGGACTGGACCTAGGCCTTCTGCTACTAAGCATCTGTCACTGTGGATTGTTATAGGTTCTCTCTATCATCTCTCTATCTTTATTCTTCCTTTACAGTTTATATATCCTAGGAAATCTTTTAAGAAACATAAAAATGACATGGCTATGTTCTATTTTCCAAGTGAACGATTATAATGAATACAGGTGAAAAGCAGCAGGCTTCCCATCTCCCTGACATGATTAAACAGTCTATGTATTGCAGGTGAAAAACGACTATCCCCAAGAGCTCACATACATTCATGTCCAAGCAATTTATTATTGATGAACAAAGTGTAAGCAAGCAAGGCATTTTTCTTAGTCATTTCTTTTACTGGCAGGCTGCGTTTTGCCATTATAAAGAAAGGATCAGTCACTTTATTATTTATCTCAAAAGGTAATCTTATTAAAAATCTTAAAAACTTTCATATATGATAAACAATCAGCTCTACTTTAAATCCTCAGTATGCGTAGCCACTCACCAACCGTTTTTTAAATTAACTATTCATTGATTTTTTAAATGGATTTTATATCACTGTTTTTTGTTTTTTGTTTTGTTTTGTTTTGTTTTTGAGCAAGGAGTCAAGAAGTTGCCGTGAATGGACGTGAAGTCATTCTATAGCTCAGGCAGGCTTTGAACTTCTAATTCTCATACCAGAGTGTTTTAAGTACACCCCCAGGATCAACTATTGCATTCTTATATAAAATCACATAGATGGGAATAACCCATTTTCTTTGTGTTTAATTAACATATATTAGTTATGTACGATAGTGTTTCCTTGTGAGATTTTCATACAATGTATGTAATATATTTTGGATGTTAGATTATCCAGCCCTCTTGCTTCCGCTGGCCCTTCCCTCTTTTTACTAGTCATCTTATTTCATGATTTTTAACTTTTTTTTGATAAGCTAATGAATTTTATTAGGAGTGCTTATAGGCGCATGGAGAGGAGGCTATTTACAGGAGTAAGGGCAACTCACCAGTGACTAATAACGCTGTGTTTTGTTGGCATGAAAAAGGGAAATTAGTAATGTGTAGAAAATGTGTAAGTCTTTGCTGTGGACTAAGTTTTCTCCTTTCAAAGTTCATATGTGGAAATCTAGCCCTTTAGTGTGTCTATATATGAACATAGGGCTGACAAGATCGTACCAGGTCGTGAGTTCAAGTCCCCAATCTCAGAAAATTAGTGTACATATGAGAAAATCTAGTACCTAAAAATCAGGTCTTACAGCATGATAGGCGCTCAGAGAAAGCATCTTCTGTGGACCAAGAGAAAAGCACTCACCAGAAGTCAAGCTGGCCTGCACCTTAACTGTGTCTTTCTAGCATCGAAACACTGAGAGCTGAATCTAGCAGTCAGAAGCTGTAAGTAGCCTGCAAATTTTCCTCAATAACCAGGGATGGAACATTCCCTGGAGTTCCCTACCCGGACAAAGACAGCGACCTCTGGGTCTGACTGTTAACTTAGCAATTTTTGATAATTCTGTTTTCCCTGCTTCCTCCTATGCCCAGCTTTTGAGACCCTGCCTGTCACTGTTTTCACCTCATTTACATACTGACATTCAGCCAATCACTTGAAGCTTCTGCCCTGGGTTGGGAGCTCCACCTAGACAGATGCCTGGACCCCGCTGGCAGCTGCGGAAAGAGGGAAATCTTCCTGCCTCAGCCAACAAAAATCCTCCTTGAAGATCGGAAACCATACTGCAGGAGGGAGCTTGTCCCCACAGCTGCCTCTAAGAACCATGGCTTCTGAGAGTGGAAGCCCAGGTTTTTCTGCTAATGCCTGCAAACTCCTGTGCAAGGGACCACTTTTAGTCAGGGTGCTCTCAAGCCCTCAGTGCTTTTGAGGCGTAATGCTTCTCAGAGCTACAGCTCTTGGCTAGCATGCTGCTGCTGCCCCAACTTCAAACCTGTCTCATTTAAGTCCCAAGTGGCAATCAGTTTTAAGGTGTTTCATTCTGTTTAGAAGTTGTTGATCCTAAACTGACAATAAAGCAATCCCCTATTTGTACTCCTCGCTGTCTGCCCAATCCGTTCTTGGAGGAAGTGGCACAAAAACCTGATGGGGACATAAAATGGCCACCACTGATTGTTTTGTTGTGAAGTCAATCCATCACCTCAGCAGGAGTAGAAACTGAGTCACACCAATGCCCACACTGCCAGTGTGAACTGAAAGAGACAGTGATGGTTCAATGGGAGCTGTGGAACTATGTTTTGATAGTTTGTAGAGTCACGGGGTTTGGGAGCAACTCTGGAGATTTGGAGGCAAGGTTTCCACTCTAGAGGGTCCAGAATGTGGAGAATCAGTGGACTATAGAGGATAATTTTCACGATTTAAGATTTACTGCATCTGGGATGCAAACAAATGGCTGGATGGATAAAGATCCTTGCTGTGTAGACTAACAACCTGAATTCAATCCCTGCAATCCTCATGGCAGGAAGAAAAGAACCAACTCCCCAAACCTGTCTGTTTCTGCCTCTCTCGTGCATGCACGCACTCTTACACACTTGAACATATACACATGCACACGCAGTTGATAAGTGAATAAATACTTTAAAACAATTTAATGAACCTGAATCTAGAGCACTTGGCATGCTGGTTTTTTTTTTTCTTGGTTGGTGCCTATTGTTCCCTTCTTTCATTTATGCTCTTTAGACAAGATCTTTCTTCTTCTGCTTGTCCTTTTACTGTATTGGGGGGGGATAGAGCTTACATTTAGCACAGGTTTGTGATAAATAGAGAACTTTGGTTTAGAAATAAATCACACTTTGAATTCTGAGCCACATATGACTAAGATAACATTTCAATAAAACTTGGGATGTCAGAGTTTGGAATTAGTGCTAGACAGAGGTAAGACCTCTGGGTCACAGAGTTTTAATGAATTCATTTTTAAATTTGAGGGGGAAACAAATATAGGAGATGCCAAAAGAATAAAGCTATGCATTGAATTCTACTTGGAAACAATATCTATATTATATATTATATACAATATAATATATATTATAATATATTATGTATGTATATATAATATATTGTTATATATATTATATAACAATATAAGGACTGAAGTAAAGTTAACCTCGGTGTCATGAGGGTGGGTCCTTATACAAAGAAATACTGAGGGCTTTTCCTCTTTTCACTGTCCCCAATAGTGAGAAGGCACAGCCTACAAGGGAAGAGAGATCTAATAGAAATCATATCAGCTACCTCCATCCTGGATGTTCTACCTCAGGTACTGTAAGGAAGACCAGACAGTGTCTAATCCTGTCAGCCTGGTCACAGTAATCTACCCTGACTGTTTAGACACTCCCATTTGTATTGCCATCCATCTACGGAGAGTGTCTAACCTCAGGATGTACATTTAATTGATTTTCTTTATCATGTTCTTGGCATATTATCCAACTCGCAATAGAAATGTTGTAAACACATCCGGTTTATTTTCTGAAGCCCTGGTTAGAATGCAAACACTGTAGGGCAGGGATGTTTTTGTTTTTCTGTTTTTATTCTCTACTATGTCTCCAATGAATAAGAAAACAAGGCTTTATTTTCTTGTTTTTGAACAGCCTCCATTAAAGTTAAACTCAGCCTCAGAACCCAGGAAGAACAAAAACACAGAGCAAAGAACACAAGCAGAGAATAAAAAGACAGATACCAATTAAAATTAGAACAAAAAAAAAGAAGCCTGGCACAACAATGTTATGCAATTACAGTATTAGCAAAAACAAAAAAAAAAAAAAAAAAAAAAAAAAAAAAAAAAAAAAAAAAAAAAAAAAAAAAAAAAAAAACCTAAAACCAAAGGAAGAAACAACAGAAAAAAACATGCCCCTTTCAGTGGTACATAAATCAAGATACTGACATTTGTAGACCCAGGCTGAAACTTTGTAAGAACAAATTGCTAGGAATAAGGAACACTTCCAAGAATTTCCAACACATACTATTCTGCGGTCAGAGCAAAAAAGCAATATGTACAATTTGCTTTGCAGGGGAGTACTCTGAAATGATAGACACAAACCCACAAAAAAATTGTACTTATCGTATTTCAATTTATTTCCACGTAAATTGGTTGCTACATGCTGAGTTAGTACAAATAATTATAAAAAACAATAATTAAGTGCATGGAAAAATATAAAAATAAGCACAGCATATTGGAATGCATGATTTTTAACTACGTCTTTGGATTGAGAAAGCACCACTTAACTCCCTCTTTGAAATCTATCTGGCAACAAACTCACTGTCAAAAAGCATATTTGGTACTGAATTGGATCAACCCACAGAACATAAAATTGGCATTTCAGATGTGTCTGTATGTTCAGCAACATACCAACATATTTCAACGACCATTAAATGTCAAGCGTTACTCATATGTGATATTAACACATTAATGTTTTCATTAAAAAAGAAAGATCTCTCTCCTCATCACACTGCTTGGGAGATCTGTCAAATAAATTATTGCAAAGTAGTTTAAGCTAAACTTTATGATGTTGAAATTATATAATTGAGGGCAAATAACCTTTAAAATGGAAGACAAATGGCAAAATTTAAGGGCATTTAATTTGCCTAAATGTTAACATCTTTTCCTGGTTACATATTTCATATCTGCCATATTAGTCTCACAACACCTGTATAGGTCAGTTTTGTTTTTTAATGCTATTTTATTACAGCAGGTACTATGGGAGGAGTTCATTATGTAAAAATGAGATAGCCGATAAGAACAGGTCGGTGTGCTGACGGAAGCATTGCAACAGTGGAGGGGTCTTGTGGCTTCTCTGTTTTCTGCTTCTTTTTTGAAATGGACATTTGTATGTCTAAAACTTATATTCAGCTTTTGGACTCTCAGAACTTAATTCAAGAGACTTTCTTTGGGCAAACAGTCATCGTGGTCTTGGAATAAACTATAGCACAGTGGACTTAACACAGTGTGTGATTTGATCTTCTTTGTCTTTGAATATAACATTAATATTTGACACTGAAATGAATGGTGTCAACTTTTGTATGCATTAAACTTATACTATAAATACTTAAATGCGCTCACACGCGGTTTCCTAGACAATACTGTCTCAATACTACAACCACAGAGAACAAATCATCCAACAATTAGCTATGACGGTCTTAATGTCAGCCATGGCCCATAGTCTACAACAAATTTAAAATGCCTATAATTCATGAGCTCAATGATAGGCCAAACTTTTATAGCAAAATATCAGTTTATAATGTACCATAACATATTTCTTTTCTCGGCTTTTCATGGCTCATGATTATATGGCAGGGATCAATGGACTGAAGACAGAGAATATCACCACCACGCACCTTTACAACAATGCAAATGGATGACGCAGAATAAAACTCCTTTTAATAAGGAAGCTATTTATAGCTCTCCCTCGATCTCCATTTGGAACCCTATATGATAAGCAGTGCTCACCTGCCTTGTTACGAACCAGATTGACAATGAAGAGACGGTGGCTTTGGGAGCCAATACTGCTCTGTTCAGTTTGTATCGGTAAAAATTAAAATGACCATGAAAATTTGGAATGCTATTTTCGGTATTTTAATTTTATTATTTCATCTTACCAAAAACTGAGGTGCTAAAATTAGGGATCATATGAATGCTTACCACACACTTGCTGAGTCATATTTCAATATGTCACTTGGACAGGAATTAGGTTTTGTTCATACAGATGCCCTTGAGTGGTGTGGGATTCTCCTCTGTATGCTGCGAATGTGGTAGGTTAGAGTAGAGCTAGGTGGGGAAAACTAAACTGAATGTTGGAAGAAAGGAGGCAGAGCCAGAGAGAAGCCACGTGGTCCTGCTGGAGACAGACACCAGGACTTTATCTGGTAAGCCACAGCCTTGTGGCTATATACAGATTAATGGAGATGTGTTAATTTAAGATATGAGTTAGCCAGAAATATGCTTAAGCTATTGGCCAAACAGTATGGCAAATAATATGGTTTCTATGTGATTATTTTAGGACTGAGCAGCTGGGAATAAATGAGTGGCCTCCCTACAACACTTATAGGTGGTCAATTTTTAATTTCTATTTTTAACTTGATTTTCAAACTCCCTGGCTTTTTTCGATAGTGTTACTCTCTAGAATAAATCAATCGTCATTAAGAATAAAGCATAATTGTAATCTATGACTTCTTATGTAAGACAATTTGTTAGAAGATTGTGAATCGAACACTTGATTATAAATAATTAAAAATAAAATATACAAGCATAAAAATGCTTACACTTCTATCCTGCTCTTAGTGTTGCCAATTATCCTGTTATTTTGGTAAATTTACAGAAAATCACATCTAAGTTTACCTCTAACAAAAGAAAATGGAAATATACAAGGGAGATCCATCTGCCATCTGTCTGTCTGTCATCTATCTATCTATCTATCTATCAATCATCTATCTATCATGTATCTATGTATGTATCCATCTATCTACCTATGTATCCATCTATCTATCTTGGTAAAGATAAATAACCGATTAAATTTTATTGACTTGGTGTCTCTCAAATAGAAAATTCACAATTTCTAAAGATAATCTTGTATAAAAACAGCATAAAACCACTCAACTCACGATACTTTGTCATCTAAAAGAGCTTATCTGAAAAAAAATATTAGATGCTAAATTTTCATAGTCTCTGGTTGCAGTAAAAATAAGGCTGCAGGCCAAACGTCTTCCATGTGCCGCTGCAGAGAGGAGAGCTATCCAACGGGACACCCGAAAGGCTTCCAGTACTCACAATGAGGCAGACGAATGGCAAGAACTCAGTTTTGCTAAAACAGCAGTTTTCTGCCACACACAAAGCATCGCTGAACACAAGAACACTGCCAGAGTGATGGTGTGGATGAGTATTGGCGTCACTGTCTTCTAGTTTGTCTTTTGTTCCAATGGCTTTATTTCTGTGGATTTCATTCTTCACTGGAGATGGCGACACTTTATCTTACTGATGTTTGAATATCTTTGGAGTAAAAACTATGGGAAATGGCACATTTGCTAACTTCTTTTTATGGATTAGTTACATGATCTTATTTTTTTTTATAGATAGCTTATAAATAGTCCAAACCACTTCTGATCAAAGTGTTCCTCCATTTGTTAGCTTACAACAAAATAGAAATAAGACCATACAAAATACTCTCATAAAAGGAAATAAATGCATCTTTACTATTTAGTAAACTAAAGCTGCATGCATATTGATCCCTATATAAAATAACTAAATGAATCTGTTTATTAAGAAAGATTAGAAAAATAAAGGGCCAGCAAGTCCTGGTCACTGGAGATGCAGTTGCTAACTCTTATCATTCTCATTGGTATAGAGGTCATATACAATATCCATAACCAATATTTGTGCAAAATGTCAATATCCAGCCCCTTCAGGGCAGTTGCTGAAGATGAGAAGTGCAGTTCATCTCGTGGGCCTCAGACTTCGCTGTGATCACTGGCCTTGCTCAGATTCTGAAAGAGGAAGAAATAAGCACCCATCACTCACAAATCCCGTAATCATAACTACAGTTGAAGACCGGCAGTAGCAGAAGGTCATGGTACGAAAATAGACATCTCAGAGGTGTAGGAGCACAGCGGTGTGGGAGGAAGCCCCAAGCCCAAGAGCCATGACTATCACAAGCTAAATGGTGTGACCTCCTTTGTACTTGATTTTCCTTGTTGGTAGAAGCTGCTTGCTCATTCCCAACTGCCCAGACTAGAAATAACCACACAGAAACTGTATTAATTAAATCACTGCCTGGCCTTTTAGCTCTAGCTTCTTATTGGTTAGCTCCTATATCCTAAACTAACCCATTTCTATTAATCTATGTATCACCACATGGCTGTGGCTTACTGGGTAAAGTTCTGGCAGGTGTCTGTCTCTGGCAGAGGCTACATGGCTTCTCACTGACTCCACCTTTTTTCTCCCAGCATTCAGTTTAGTTTTTTGGCCTAGCTCTATTCTGCTAAGCCACTGGCCAAAAAGGATTTACTCATTAACCAATAAAAGAAACATATAGAGAAGGACTTACCACACCATTTCCTGGTTCTAAAATTGGCTAAATGAGAGTATCTACCTCATATGCAGTGGCAAATTTACTTAATTAATATGAGTGAGGCCTTTAGACTATTCTAGAACACAGTAGGTAATACATGTTAATAATGGCTGTTATTATTTGGGAACTGCATATTGTTCTGACTGAAAATGACAAAGCTCACTGGAGGAAGCACTAATGCCACCCTGGGGAAGAGGAAGGCAAAATGGAACAAAAGTTATAGGAAAACTGCAGGAAACTACATCTCTGGGATTCATTGTAAAACTAAACTCAGAGGTGCAATACCCCACAGTAATGTGTCTTCTCGAAGTCATGTGACCACTAGACTCTGTAAAGGATATTTTAAAAAATCACCACATAAATGATCATAATGACAAGACTATCTAAACATAAAAATATATTTAAAATCTATATTTAGTATTTCTGCACTGAAGAGAGCCAAGATCAGCTTTCAGGACAATGGATCTTGGAAGGCCATTAAAGCAAAGAATCTGCACCTGATAGGTGACATCAAAGTCTCTAATCCACGACAGCATTAAAAGCTCCCAATTATTTAACAACTGTTCATAACTTGTCTACAAAGTGGAATAGACTCATTTCTTTACTTACAGTAAATTGTCAGATGCAAAAGGAAGAAATATTCAAGGATTTTTTGGTACCAGTGGGGAGGGAACTACTATAATATTCCAAAGCCCTTGATTGTGTAGGCTAGTTTTCCTTACAGTGCGTGCTTGCTGGCTTAGCTGACTCACCTTATTTGCCTGGATGATACTTATTGCAGCAGGTACTGAGTCAAAAAAGATTGGCCTCTCAGTGTCTAGGTCTCCGCAGTATGTCATCGCTTTGATCAAGGATGCTGCAGAAAAGCATGAGATGTGTGAAGACATGTGGGACAGCCGAGGCCGTCACCTGGTGTCAGCCTATGACACACTCTTACCTGTGCAGTTGGCTAAGAACACATCGATACCCCTGCTCTTGCAATCCAGGTAAAGCTGGAAGAAGTAAAGGAACATGCTCATAGTTAGTTCAGGATAGCAGACTTCAGGGAGGAACTAGGTTTGGGCAGGGAAGACAAATGATAAAAACAGTGTCTCTGAAGTCAAACCACCAGAGGGAGGCATTGTTACATAGTTAAGGCCATGCCCAGTAAGCTCCAGAAGATTCATACAGTGAAACATGTATTCTGCAGAGACTAAATGTAGCTGCTCATATCATCATTTTTTTAAAAACATGACAACAGTTTTTTTCTCCCCTGTAGGAATGATATAAGATTGCTGTCACCATCTTTTACTGAAAGTCAAGGACCAACCTGTGGAAGTGATGAAGGGTGCTAGCCCACTAACTTTAATAATTTAGGAATATTTCATTGACTCAGTAAAACCCAGCTATTAAACCTCATTATAACCTGAACCAAATTTTCCTGTCCATTAAGGTGAGAAAGCTTAACACTTGAATGCACTAAGGCCTTAACTCTTAAACTCCTAGACACCTCAACCAGAATCAGTTTATGAACTACTGGTCTTAAATTCATCAAAAGCAAAATAAGACCATGAGGTTTGCCTAATGTGCATGCAAAGGTTCATTTACAGCTGGAACTGGTCATGTGAGAGTGAGGCATTTATATGAAAGACATGTCAGCAGCACCTACAATACAATCTAGAATGTATTGTAACTATGTGCATTATAGATACATAATTCCTTTCATCCTTCTCCATCAGTAAGTCATTCCTTCAAAACGAGAATAGTAGATTAATTGGAGTTGTTTCAATTTGAGTATAAATTACAAAACATGAAAAAATAAAACGTGGGCTCTGACTTTGACGTTGAATGAATGACTCCTGCTTCTGTAAGTTAATGTGATTAATTCAAGGTGACCTCTCAGTGTTCAACTTTCTCTAAAGCCCAATGGGAGCACAAGCACAATGCTATTTTGGGTGACTTGTTGATGTTGATAAATACAACCTCCATTTCACCAAACTGCACCCCCACTCCCCACCCCCCACCCCTGTCTCCAGGGAAAGAATGAATAGAAGTCACTCAGTTCCTTTCAATGCTCGACTCCAGGATTACATCAGCTCTTCATGCTGAAGTAACTAAACAATCCAAAGTTTTGCTAAAACGCAGGGAAGCTAACATGGCTGGAGGGACCCTGCTGCTCTCGGCGCTAGACTCAGTCTCTGAGTAGTTGAAACTAAGAAATAATCTTGCTTGCAAATATATTATTTGCACTTTAAGAAATGGTTTTAAAACTTTTAAATATATGTATATGTATACCCATATACATCTAAACACACACATATATTGTACTACTGTGTGTATGTTTGTGCCACCCACAAGCACACAACAGTGATGGAGATTTAAATAATCTGTGGAGTCAGTTCATTCTTTCTATGTTTATGCTGTTCTGGAGAACAACTCAACATGTCAGGCTTCTGGCAAGCACCTTTACCTACCGAGGCAACTCACTAGCTCAAGAAGTGACTTTTTAAAGTGAGAAAAAGTAATACTGAATGTTGGCATTTCTGAGTGCTTCCTAACTATGCTGGCCACTTCTTTACTGAGTATTTCCTGTATCATACATCATCTCTGAGCTCACAGTGTGATGAGGTGGAGAACTCTACTTCTAGTGTATAGAAGAGCAAACAAATGGGAGCCAGGGAGATGGCTCAGTAGGTAAAGCACTGGTCACACATGCACTAAGTCCTGAGTTTGAACCCTCAGAAGAGACATAAAGAAAGGTGTATGCCATAGGCAGGACAGTCTACGGCTCCTAAGAGACAGGAAAGTCCCTGTAACTCCCACATCAGCTACTTAGCATGTGACAAAGAGATACTGTCTCAAACAAGGTGGAAAGCAAGGGCTGAAGCCTGAAGCTGACCTTTGACATCCACATGTATCATTCACGTGTTCACACTCACACATACGACACACATACGGGGTAAGAGAAAGAATGAAAATAGATTTTATCTCCAAGCACAGAACTAGTATTGGGGGGATGAGACTCCAGAATTTTTCTGTTCTTAAAGCCAGTGTTCTTCACACGCATTATAATGTAGCCATGATGGAACAAACCAAACAGTAACATGGTTGGAAAAATAGAAGCAGGTACAAAACTGACAGCCTTGTATATACAAGGAAAAATGCCTTGTCAAGTGCAAGTATATTTTCCTGCCAATTTAAAAATAAATTGTATCAATTGTCTTAATCGAGAATTTTTAATCCATTACCATGGTTCAAGAAAAACAAAACAAAACCCTTTATACATTAGCATGCCCAGTGTCTGGATTGCTTGATTCATCTGAACTGTCAGCCTTCAACCCTTAGCTCAAGGGCAGTAGGTAACCTTTTGTCTTCTTCACCGATTCTAAGAAGTGTTTCCAAACATCTAGAGAAGGCAACTAACAATCTCAGCCAAAAATTTAAATGCAATTCAACAACAACAAATCCACACACAGGCCTAACTGATCGAGTCCAAACAACGTTTCTTTCCACGTGGTCCGCAGACCACCTGCAGGAGTCTCCTATAAGAGTTTAAAAGGAAGACTTGGGACCATAGCCAGGCCTCAGAAATTAGATTTTAAGTGAGTTCCCAGGAGTTTAACTGCCAGACTCAGACAATACAGAGAAGCAAAATACCAGCCACAAAAGGTCTTCCAGTGAAGAAAGACTAGGTACTTAAATGATGTGGGATTCCGCTCTGTATGCTGTGACCACCACTGATGCATAAAGAAACTGCCTTGGCCTGTTGATTGGGCAGAATTTAGGTAGGCGGGGAAAACTAACTGAAATGCTGGGAGAAGAAAGGCAGAGTCAGAGAGAAGCCATGGAGCTGCTGTTGGATATAGACATGCTGAAACTTTGCTTGTAGGCCACGACCTTATGGTGATTCACAGATTAAAAGACATGGGTTAAATTAAGATGTAAGAGTTAGCAAATAACCCAAAGAAAAACATATAGGCATCTTCCTGAATATTAACCTTCATCAGGTGATGAAAGGAGACAGAGACCCACATTGGAGCACCAGACAGAAATCTCAAGGTCCAAATCAGGAGCAGAAGGAGAGAGAGCACTAGCAAGGAACTCAGGACCGCGAGGGGTGCACCCATACACTGAGAGAATGGGGATGTTCTATCAGGAACTCACCAAGGCCAGCTGGACTGGGTCTGAGAAAGCCTGGGATAAAACTGGACTCGCTGAACATAGCAGACAATGAGGACTACTGAGAACTCAAGAACAATGGCAATGGGTTTTTGATCCTACTGCACATACTGGCTTTGTGGGAGCCTAGGCAGTTTGGATGCTCACCTTACTAGACCTGGATGGAGGTAGGTGGTCCTTGGACTTCTCACAGGGCAGGGACCCTGATTGATCTTTGGGCTGACGAGGGAGGGGGACTTGATTGGGGGAGGGGGAGGGAAATGGGAGGCAGTGGCGGGGAAGAGACAGAAATCTTCAATAAATAAATAAATTTAATAAAAAAAAGAGTTAGCAAATAAGAAGTTAAGCTAATGGGCCAAGTGGTGATTTAATAAATATAGTTTCTGAGTGGTTATTTCGAAGCTGAGCAGCTGGGAACCAACAAGTGGGCTCCTTAAAAACTTAAACCTTGACTTGCACCATTTATTTGCTTTCTAAATACCTTCAATTCTTAAAACAAAGAATATTCTCACTTCCACAAAGGAATTAACAGATTTCAGCCAATGGACGATTCCCCAGCACATAGCTGGTGTGTGACAGATCTAGCAGGATACCCAGGCTTTCGGGATAAGCAGTGTCCTTCTAAGCACTCACCTTTGTGCTTCCTGGCCAAGAGATACCCAACGGTGGGAAATTTCAAAGTCAATTTAAAATGCAAATGAAGAGATACAAAAATATATAGGATCTCAGTCGAAATTCACAGTGTGAAGATGTATCAAGCAGATTAACCTGAACTCCATTGATCCATTTTTCTGTTTATCTATTTATATATTTATTCAGGGGAGTGAACCCGAGGCTTTGATTGCTAGTCGGCGCTCTGTCACTAAACCAGAGCCCCGGAGCTAACACAACAACAAAACAAAACATCAGGTAGACAGAAATAAAAGGAGGGCCCCTCTGTGTGAGCTGAACTTCCATTGCAGTTCCTGGCCACAGCATGAAGAGGGGAGTGAATGCAGCAGTTTCAGGGAGTGGAGCAGGCTGAAGCAGAGATCAGGGAGGATTAGCTGGGCGGTGCAACCCTGAGGGGGCTTTTCTTCATCGCAGAATCATTGAAAACTCACTTCCTGGCAGATATTACGCCCAATACCACCCCGATCTCAGCCTTCTCACTCCTACGACTTTGACCCCCTATCCTGTAGGTCTAGAATCCAGATGGATCTTCTGAAACAACCCTACTGTAGCATGAGTTGCACTGTCCTATGTCCTCTGTGAGAAAGGGGCTTCGACTCTGTCGCTGAGATGGTTGAGGAGAACCCCTGCTACTGAAGGGAAGGAATCAGGGCTGACCCAGGCCATGTAGATACCTCAACAAGTGTAGAGACTCCCGTGTAGTCAAAAAAGGTCAAGCCATTGCAATCCAGGACCAAAGAACACTTCTCACTGGGGCAGGGCTGGGAAGCTTCCTCTGCAGGAGAGACAGAAACCATAGTTAGAGTTTGCATTTCTTCTGTTGCTGCCTTGGTTGAACGGTAACAAAGCAACGGCAGCCTCACGGCGAATAGTAATTCTGAACTTTCATTCTTAAATTTTCAGTTAGTTACCAGTGATTTCTGAGCTCTGCTTCTGTTTGTTGTTTTTATTAGATGGACAGGAGAACTCTAAACGAATCTGAAAGGATATCCAGCAATCTATCTCTAAGCACAGTGCAAACATTCTGAATGGTGCACTATCCTAATCTATTGCTTCTTTGGCTCGTAGGCGATGTGGGATTCCCCTCTGTATGCTGTGACTATGTTTTATGACCACTGCTTAATAGAGAAGCTGTTTTGGCTAGTGGCAGGGCAGAATAGAATTAAGTGGGAAAAACTAAACTGAATGCAGAGAGAAAGAAAGTGGAGTCAGAGATTCCATGTAGCTGCCAGAGAAGAAAGACTCCAGAACCTTACCAGTAGGCCACAGCCTTGGTGATACAGAGATTAATAGAAATGGGTTAATTTAAGATATAAATGCTAGGTAGGAATACACCTGAGCCATTGGCCAAAGCAGCTTCTTTAATGGCCAATGGTAATAAAATATATTCACAAGATACAAAGGGGAATTCCCCCATCAGATAGATCCAGAGTAAGGGCTAACATTAATTTGCAGTTAATTCACAGTGAATCTGCATTTGCTGTGTCCCAAGCTCCCCCAACCCTATAAAAACCAACAGCGACCAACTAAACAGCATGAGCCTGCTGTATAGATATGAAAACAGGTGATCAGGAAATATGAAGCATACTGGAAATTCTTACACAAGAGTTATCACCCAGAAAATACTACAAAGTGCCTGGTGTATTTGAAAAGTCTTGTCCCAATAAAGGATTTTTTTCCAACTTACAAGTTCACTTTAACCAATTGACTAAACTAACTTCAGAGAATGTAATATGTTTGAGAAATCTTCAAATATGTAGCATATAACAACAAATAGAGCCAGAGCCTATTCTTTTCTTCAAGGAGCTAATAAATTGGATAGAACTGATATAGACATGATCTAAGATTAAATAAAAAATGATAAGCAATAGGAATTTATAAAATAGGGGAAATATCCTTGGAGTGATCAAGGAAAGTTTCCTTCACTGGCAGCCTTGATGTGTCTGTTCCTTCACTGTGTCTGTTCTAGCCACAGGAGGCACTTTAACACGTGAACACCCAGGACCCCCTGCTCCTCCAGCTCCTGTTTTCCTGTTCTCCCAGAAAAAGAATGCAAAGCGTTTTTGGAGACTTCCACTGTCCCTTCATTGCCTAAGACATTCATCAGCGCCTCAAACAAGACAGAAAGCAGCTACAACTTAGGTCCTCCTGAGTAGGTGTCTTTGTTGTCAACATTAGCCTAACCAAAAGACTTGATCTCCACACCACAGGGATTCTTGTTTATTCTCTCCCATCACTGTGCTCCTGGTTCAGAGATGGGAAACAATTGAGAAGCAGGGAAAGTGATAATGTTTATTCCAAGTAAAGAATATTCATTCCACTTCGCAGTGGAATGTTGATGTGGTCATAAATACATCTATACAATATAGAACTTTTTATACTCTCAAAACATAAAAGTCTCTAACAATTAAATATCGAGTAATTAAAAATAAATAAGTGTGTGGCACACATGGTATATGTGTGTGTATGTGTACATATATTTACTAAGTTAGATACTAAACTTTTAACAGGACTAATGTTCACAACATACACTGGAATTCTGTATTTAAGGGTTTCCTATCAAAATTTTGTTGAACATATTGGTTTTAGAGAATAAAATTGTATGTTTCTTGTTTACAGTAGCAGTATGCTAGAAACAGCACATCCCACTGGGTATGCATCTCCTCAGCTCCACTCTTGGAGAGAGAGAGAGAGAGAGAGAGAGAGAGAGAGAGAGAGAGAGAGAGAGAGAGAGAGAGAGACTGAGAAGAGGAATCTGGGAGTGTGATCTTGCCAGCAGACTTGGAGTAAGTCAGATATGCCGTAATTAGAAGAGGTAGCTGAGCCTTGTGGTAGAACATAGATTGAAAAAATATGGGTTAATTAAGTTATAAGAACTAGTTGAGAAAAGCCTAAACTAAGACCAAGCTTTTAAAATGAATATTAAGTCTCTGGGTAATTATTTGCAGGCTGACAAAGATGGTCCAAAGACAGTCCAACAAGGAAGCTTGCTACATTTATTGCCCAACACGGGGACATAAATCCACATAGAGACTGAAAAAGTTGTAAGTGTCCCAGACACCGAGCCTGCTGCTCATGGAGTACAGAGGCCCCTTTAAAAGGTCCTAACGTGCAACAACACATCGACTATCAGTGCACTAGGTAAAAATTCCTGCCATGTTGTGGACACAACAGCTGCCCAGAGTTGCAATGGTTAGGTGAGGCTGAGACAGTTAGGAGCAGCTCCTGCGAGTGTCCACTAACCCGAAGGGGGAGGAGTCAGCCACCAGTGGCATGTGCTAGGCAGAGCCACTCAGCTGCAGTCTGGTCTTTTCAGGTTCAGCTCATGCAGTCACAAAAGCACTGCAGATGTACAGAAAGTCAGGTCCAAGTTTAGAAAACCTTTGAGAAGATATAATACGGTTAAATGTGCTTAGATGCTGAAGAAAGAAAAGAACATGGGTACAGACAGTCATAGAAGAATAACAGTTTAAAATAATACAGTCTTTAGAGAAAGAGTAGAGAAATATAAAAGAAATAAACCACCTAAGGATGAGAAATACCATATTACAGGGCATGTGGACCATATTAGTGCTTTGTTAACTTTTTAAATCTTTTAATGTTAATAAGCAAGAAGTGGCAGTTGCTGAGAAAGAAGGGTTTCAGAAGGGTAGAAGTTTGCTTAAACTTTGGGGTTCATGACAACAGAAGCCAGGTCTACTTTCTTAATCACTGAATATGTAGCACCTCTTACTATTGCTAAAATCAAGAACTCTTAAGAAAATATGTGAAATTTTTGCCATGTGAATAATGATATGAGAACTGAATGAATGACAAGAAGCAAGAGTTATATGAGTAGAGACCTGGAGGGAACCTTGAGGTTTCCTTAAGTGGGTAGAAGACAACCACGTGGAAGTTCACCATGGCAACAGACACTCTAGAGAGCTCCTGTAAACTTTATCACCAGATGACCTAAAACACTAAAAATACTTTTAGAAGATCTGCTTACAAGTAAACAATTATAGTTTTCATTCAGAGAAAAATGTTATGGCTTCCATCTTCTAATAATATATATGGTTTCATATGTTTGTTTACTCAGTTGTATGTCAACCATGCATCTGCAAAGGCTGTCGGAGAAAGGAAATTTTTGACTTTTTTCTCTTACCCAGTGCTTTTCTTGCTCCATGACTCACTTTGGTTGAGCCTCTTTGGTTCCTACTTTTTATCCCTTAAACCAGCTGAATGTCTCCTAGGTGGCTGCTTATCACATTCAACTTACCATCCTGTAATTTAAACACAGCTGCTACCTTTACGAACACACGTGGAGTCCATTGTTCCCTGTTTGAAAGTTTTTACCTTCAGTGCCATCATTTGTCTCACAACAGAAGAAAGCAAACTGAGAGTCATGCTGATTCATTTTGAATGAGATTGAGGACAGGGGGTCACAGAAATGACACCATAAGGGAGTGAGCCCAAGAAAAGGTTTAGTGATGAAACTGGGAACAGGACTATCCACAGAAGGCTTCGAACAATGAGGGCAGAATCCTATAGCTGAATAAGAGGGGCGAGGAGGACAAAGGTAAAAGGAGGAACAGCTGATGATGATTTGAGGATAAATTGGAGTCCCCAAAGAAGGGAGAGAATGAATATGGTAAGTGAGTAGGGTGGGTAAGTTTTCTATAATTTTATGTGTATTTTCTTATAATCTACCTTCTTTGTTTCCTACTATGACTTCTTGTTAAGATGATTATAATTACAAGGACTAGCTACTAATTTCCAAATACAATGAGACTCTGGGGTTATTTTCTCATTCTAAATTTCCTTCTATTAAAAACTTACAGCTTAGGAGCTGAAGTCTTAGTGGTTAAGAGCCTGTACTAGTCCTCAGACAGGACCTAGGCCTGGTTCTTAGAAGCCCTGAGAGGGTGGTTCACAACTGCCTCTAAGTCCAGGTCTAGGGATTCAGTGTTGTTTTCTAACCCATGCAGGTACCTGTATTCATGTGCACATGCCTCACCCTCAACCTCCCCACACATATACGCATAATTAGAAATAAAATGAATGCATCTTTAAGTGATTTATATATTCATTGCATATTAGCAAGTAAATCTGCATGGATAATCTCCATTATTTAAAACATATTGAAACTTATTTTATAGTTCCAGTTTATGATCACCAGAGAAAGAGCCAGAGAGACCTCAAATCATGCTTATGAATCATTCCCACATTCACTGCAACAGACTTACAATTTTATCCCTCCCATTGTTCTTTTTCTTTCTCACCAACTAATGATACTGAAATCATGTAACGTATAATTTCACATCAGTCTGTTGAGAATTGAGTCCTCTGACTAGATGTGATTTGGGTTTTATGAATTCTATCTTTTATCTCCTGGCTGCTCTAGGTACTTACTGCTCTATGGTGTCTCTCATTCTGTCCTGCTCATACTGCACAGTTGTGTATCACTACCTCCTGTGTCTTTCATTGTCTATACATGGAAGGAAAGTCAACTCAACTCATACTTTTATAGGAGAATAAAGTTCTAGAGAATAAATATTGACCTGGACATTTTATCAAGGACATATCATTAAAACATTGTTGCTGTCACCTGACATTTATCCTAGGAAAGTGTGAGCCTGTAATTGATTTAGTTGTGAGAAGCAGAAATCTAAAATATATGAGAAAATATTTGTGGGAAAGGTTGATCTATATTAAGACTATTTATAGTTGAGATATTCAGTTTAAGGAGAAGGAATAGGAGATCGATACAGTCAAGAACAGGGGAAGGGGAAAGAAGTGGGAGGTGAAAAGAGATGGAAAAAGATGGGGAGAGGGAAAACATTGAGAAGGGGGAAGAAGTGTGAGGAGAGAGGCAGAGGAATGAAAAGGAGAAGGAAGAATGCGGGAAAAGGAAAGGGAAGATGGAGAAGGAGAAAGAAATAGGGAAAATGAGGAGATTTTAGCTGAAGAACAAGGAAACCCCTAAAGGTGGTGGGAGGCCGAGAGAGAAGGAAAGGAGAAGGGGATTTTGGTCCTCTGTGCAAACTCAACTCAAGATGTTGAGACCACCTTTGCTTAAAGCGAACTCACCATTGCAATTGCCATTGGACAGGGGACTGAGCAAGGTGTTCTGTTCACACTGAAAGAAAAATAGATGGAAGGCATGAAAATGCTGTGGAACTATAGAGTAGAGCTAACAATGAACACGCCCCCATTCCTTTCTCCACCATGAGCCACATCAACGAGCGCCTTCAGAAGTTTTTTTCTCCAGGCTTTTTTTCAGATGCTGTGAGCACTGCACCAGGAAATGAAGAAACAATTATGGGCTGGAAGTAAGTATACATGAGTTCAGTGGGGACTTTGCTCACTGAATCAGATGTGAGAACATTTTTTTGAAAGACAAAATTTGTTTTGATCTGAGGTCACAAATTATTTCATACACATTAGCCTCATGAAGATGCCTGAGAAACATTTATGAGTTGCTAGATGTCAAGGAGTGAAAACAAAGCAGTTCTGTACCATGGAGCTCATCTTCGCTACCAGTGAGGCCTCAGAAATGGCAGCTATTTGTTTACTGAAAAGTGTGTTTTTTTTTAAATATAATTTTTTATTGAAAAAAAAATTTCCGCCTCCTCCCCGCCTCCCATTTCCCTCCCCGTCTCTCTTTTCCCCCCTCCTCCTTCTCCTCTCCCCCTCCCCCCACTCCTCTCCCCCTCCCTCTCCAGTCTGAGGGGTTCCCTGCCCTGTGGAAAGTCCAAAATCCTCCCCGCTCCATCCTGGTCTAGGAAGGTGGAGATCCAAACTGGCTAGGCTCCCACAAAGCCAGAACATGAAAAAAGTGTGCTTTTTTTTGGCTGTTGATGACAATGGGTAGTTTTCAGTGTTTACTATATACCCACATCTTGATGACAGTAACAGCTGAATCATCAGAAACATTCGTCCTGTGAACTTACTAATCTTCTGTTCCATTATGAGGGCGTCAAGGATGACAAAGTTAGAAGACAGGACCAAAGTCACAAAGCTAGGGACAGCTCACACTGGAATCGAAGCCAATGCCTTTCCAAGGTTCCACTCTCGACCACAGCTTTTACAGTTTCACTGTGTACTCATCAGTGCAACAGATCACATACTTCTATCAAGTTTTCTTACATTTCCAAGATTCAGTCTTTCTTTTATATGGAGTATGGGAAACCATTTCAGAGAAGCATAAATTGTTGTGGGCATTTTAGAGAATTTGAAGATTCAGGGGGAAATTACACACATTTCATAATAATATTATAATCACAACAATTTATGCGTCTCTGAAATTGTTTTCCATCCTCCATATTCTAAAGAACTCGATTGTCACGTATTTATTTTAGGGCCATGATGAACAAATTTCTAAAAATACTTAATATTGTCCTATTCTCAGGGTATATTGGAATGAACAGACAAACATACAGCATTAAGCTTTTTTCTAGGACCAGGTCTATAAACCCATTTAAACTCCATGGTGTCTCCTTGAGGACATCTTTAGTGATCTGTAGTATGGCACACATCACAGACCTGGCATGCCTACCTTGCTGACATCATCGAGTGCTTGGCTGCTCTCATCTTCCTTTAGGATGATTTTCATTAGATCAGTATTAAATTTCTTTGCATTCAGAAAAACAAGTGGGTTGTTTATTGAGATGATTTTTACCTGTTGCAAGGTTTCCTTTTAAAGGGGAAAAGAGGAAAAGAGTCAAAACTCTGAGTCAAGTCAGAAAAAAAAAAAAAAACAATACACCCAATCAGAGTAAATCTTATGAGTCAACCCATCACTTATTTATGGATGCAATCTCTCTCTCAAGTCTTTATTTTTTTGTATTTATTTACTTTTGTTTTTACATCCTGACTGCAGTTTCTCCTCATTCTTCTCCTCCAGGTCCCTCACTCACCCACACATCCCCTTTTCCTCCTCTGTTTTGTTTCAATAAAGGGCAGACCACCCATGGATATCAACCAGCCATGATATATCAAGTATGAATGCAATTTCTTAACTAGTACTTTTGTTATTGAAATTTATATGCGAGTCTTAATGGAATACCACATATATCAAGGAAATACACACTTTTCCGTATTGAGAATCATCGGTAACAGAACACATTCACAGCTTTTCAGAAAGTGTCTTGTACTCCTGCTCACTGGGTCCTCTGCGGCGAGAGCCTAGATTGCCCACCTCCCACCAAGTCCCTCTTCCATTCAGCCTACAAATTAAAATTAACTTACTGTTGTTTTCACAATGGTGTGGGTCAAACTGGAGCCTCTCGTGCTAGGCAAGTGCCCTGCTACTGAATTCATCAGTTTTAATACAACTGAAAATGTTTCTCAGGGCGTCAACGCTTATCCCTTTATCTAACACTGGTGTGAGCTCCTCTCTAGCTAGAGGACTTTACAAATAACTAGCAGTCCTAATTGTAAGAAAGCCATGAGAGACCGCGCTTGGAACACAGGTTTCCTAGACCAGTGGGGTTACGCTGCACTGCCAGACTGTATGTGAAAGGTGCAGAAAGGGAAAGGAAAAGGTCTTGACACAAACTATACCTACTTTTCCCATCTGCTCAGATAGTATTGACAGCACTTGGTGCTGTCCGATAAAACCCCCTTTTCTGTGACTTTGAGACGGGTATCTGATTGAGAAGATGGCCAATCCTGTGCAATGATAGCTCCTTACCAACCAAGCAAGGCATCAACTCCTTCAGGCTTTAGTATTCCCATAGAAAAAGAGATGCAGAGAATAGCCATGCATGCATGCATAAGAAATAAAGAATTAGGTAATGTGGGTAATTTTCAGACCTCATTGTTTGCTCATGTTGTAAATAAACGTTTGAAATAATATATGTTTCAGGGTTTAGAAAACTAAGAATAATTCAGTCTGGAGTATGAGGAAATTGTAACAAACAATACAAGGAAGCAAAAAATTTGGCCACCAGTGTAACTTTTAATCGAGAGGCAACCACTTAGAAACTTAAAATAAAGGGGTAATGTTTAGGTCTGTCACATACTGTCATCAGGTTTGATGGTTGCTGCAACTAAGAAATTCTCAGCAGACTGAGCTTGTTGAATGAGAAGAGATATTCCAAGTTGGAACGGGCATTCTGCATGAACAAGAGGTAAAAAACGGGGCAAGGGGGAATAGCACAATTCTAGTAAGGTAAAATTTTCTTTCAACAGCTTCATTGCAAATTCTGTTCAATCATAGTCACACCTCTTATTTTTGTGGAAAATATTAGGAAACTACTGAGATGTAACATTTTAATGAAACTGGGATTTTTATGAGCAAAAGTTATTACTTGAATGGATAATAAAAGAAACAACCAAGATTTGAGAACATGAGAAATTTCTAGCATTTGTGTCTGTCCTAAAAATCTCTCATTCACACTAAGTTATATTTGCCCCAATAAGGCAAGGATTATACATTTTTTTAAAATGAAAACTCATCAACCTAAAATCATATTCTATCTGGAAGATGAAGACATCAGTAGGGGATGATAGGACTCTAGGTTAAATTCCCATGGAAAAATCAAAAGAAAAGAAAGACTGACTTGCTTGAAAACTCGAGCCTAGGACACCCTCCAAGGCTTTGAATCACACAGCCCTCTGTGAAGTAAATCTCTTATTAAAAGAACAAACCATTCTCCTGGGTGTGACAGAAAGGCTCCTGACGTTACTTCCTGTCGTCAGGCTACCTGGAAAGACCTTGACATTGGTCCTCTTGGAAGGAGGCCAGTTCTCTGTGTTCTGATGGGAATCATAAGGCAAGGGAGCAAGTGAATATAAAGTAAAGGAGAAAATGTTAACCAAACATTTATCAAACAGGTTCAAAGTGAGGCCAACTCTTAAAAATGGGCAAAAATGATTCAAGCGAACACTTACATTGTTATTATTTTCCCCCCACTTTAAACTTTTCTGGTTATTCTTTAAAACAAGAAACTAGAACTGCCCATTCCTGCCTAGTGGGTGCTATGCTTGGTACACAGCTGCAGGCAAGACCCTTGGCTAAACTCAGTGGGCCACAAAACAGGAAGAGGAGGATGTGGGATAGGAAGTGAAGCAAGGGATTGGGTCATGGAGTTGAGAGCGATAAGAGGGGGTAAGGTGAAAGCAAGCCTGCATGAAATTTTCAAAGAACTACTTCAAATTTTACAGCATGAAAGAACTCTAACGCTCATACGGCACCCTTACATATTAGCAAGGCACGTCGGTTTATGTAAATTGCCTTTTAATGAAAGTTCTCCATTTTGCACAAGTCCACACCTACTGACATTCTAGAAAGCACCTCAGACTTAATTACTCTCAGCTAATAATTCAGTATCACTGTATTTCCAAAGAGCATTTTAAAAGTTCCTTGAGAATTTCATGCATGTGTACATCTGATCATATTCCCCAACAGTGACTAGGTTGTTACAGCAGCAGTGTAAGAAAGAGTGACTTTGGTTTTTTTTTTTTTTCTGTTCCCCAAATTTCTTTATCACATAAGGAAGAAAAGGCTATCACTTTGGTTTATTTTATACAATCTAGTAGTGGAAAAGAAGTTTACAGATTCCTGAAATAATCTCTCCCAGAAGTCAACTGTGAACTGAAATTCTAGGAACCATGATGTGATTTAATTAGACACTAAATACAAAGAGGTATTTCCTCTTCTGATTAATGCATGCCCACTGTCGTGTGTGGTGCTCTCGTGTACACCTCTGGAAACCAATATCTATAAAAAAATGGAACGACATTGTCAAACAGCATGGAATGACATTGTCAAACAGCATCTTTTATCTAAGTTGATAACCTTCAAAGCTGTCTCATCCACAAACGTTAACACTTGTGCGGAAAGAAAGGGAGTTAGACTTACATCGGGCATTTCTGTCTTCACCTTAACTTCCATTTCTTTCATGTTTGTTATGCTTAAAGTCTTTGCCCTAAATTCAAGGCAGATGAAAGTTATGAGTCATTTCCTGATCACTATATTAGCAGAGAAGAATCAAAAGCAGCAGTTTGGTTTATCTTAAAAATTAAAAATTATGTGGCTTATACTCTATGGAGATTTGTCTAGAAGATTTGGTGAATCTATACTTTGTAGAGAATAACAACAGAGGTGTCTGACTAAAAATTAATAAGTAAAGTTTATCTTATTTAATTCCACCCCGAATCCCAGAGCTCCAAACTTAAAAAGTTACAAAGATTAAAAAAAACTTATGAAATGAGAAAGGGCTAAAGATTATATGGTGTTTGAGTGGAAGGGAAAAAATGGTGGCAGAAAACTATGATAACAATCTGTATTTGAGGCTGATAAATTTGAGGTTGTATTTGAGGTGAAAGTATATTTTATATTTTATTTTTACTTTTTAAAGTTATTATAGATAATCCCCAGGGACCCATTTGAATGGAGTGTGACCTCTGCGAATTCAGGAAAGGAATTGTTCAAATCAGGTGTGGGGTTGACCATGTGCAGTCAACAGACAAAGTGATAAAGAGTTCCGCAGCAAATGACACAGATTCAAAAAGTGAAAGTGGCCATTTAATTTCTCAAATAATGATAACCCTAAGAAATTAGTTGCAGTTTGGATTTTAAGAGGCTTGGTTCCAGCTGACACCGCTCAGAAGGCAGTAGAGCCTGTAAGAGTTTAGGCACAGCAGAAGGGAACTATATCACTGGACATGTGCCCTTGAAGGTGACATGGGCACCTAACCCCTTTCTCTCTTTGTTTTCCAGACATTTAGGAAGAGTAGATTTATTCCACTACTCACTTCCACCTTGGAAGCACTGGGCCACTGCAGGCCCAAGGCAACCTCCAAAGTCGTAAGCAAAACAAAGTTGTCCCTTTAAGTTGGTTTATTTCAGCAAGCTGTTATGATATTGATGCTTCTTTCTATTATGACCGGTATTAGTATATATCATATATAAGTAAAATATTTTGCAAATTCTGTTTTCCCACTAGATGCAAGAGGATATAGAATTATAGAACAATATATATTGTTATAAAGGCAACTATAAATCACGTGTTTTGCTGTGGAGTAAAAGGAAACAATATTTAAATAAAGCCTTACCTTGGGAAGCGTCCTATCACGATGGCTATGGTGCAGACAACACCGAACAACAAACCCACATTGGCAGCAAAGCATATTGTAAATATGTAAGTACTGATCCATATGCCCTAAGGAGACGAGGGAGAAAGGAGACGCGGCTACTCGTTTTCCTCAGAGCTCAAGTCCCTCACAAATGTATTCAACAGCACTCCAGTGAACAAATCTCTCAAGTTTGCTTACTTATTTAAGCTCCCTCCCTCCCTCCCTCCCTCCCTCCCTCCCTCTCTTCTTCCTCCCTTGCCCCCCTGTGCCTGTAAAAGAGAGAACCAGGGTGGCAGAGGACATGCAAGATGAGACCATGATGTGAGTTGAGTATGGAAGGCCAGATGAAAGCTTATTAGAGTAGAACCTCTCCATGTGGGTTTCAGGGATTGAACTGGTTTGGCAGCAAATCTAAACCATGGAACCAGTACATGAACATATTATCTAATGTGAATAGAAAAGCAGAAATACAGAATCATGCCGTGGCTCCATCATACTCTAAGTAGTAGGATAGGCTCTTTATTTAACTTGTAGGAATGCCAACCCTTAGTTCAAGACCCGAGTACTATACATCAGATCTATAAGTAGTTGGTTGATATGTATGTGCACAAAAGTATGTCATAATGTCCTGTTATTTCTTGTTGAACACAATGTAGTGCAAGCAACTCTTCTCGGGTTGATTGTCCTTCTCAACAACTTTCTGTTTTCTGTGATCACGGTACAAACAGCTGATATAGTTTGCTACTCTTCAAGGTCAGTAAAGTCTAGCATAAAGCTAACCGAAGAAACCAACACTGCCAATGATTTTAGATCAACTCCTGGAAAGTTCATTTGTAAAGGGCCACTTCCTAAAAAGCTAAACTATCAGAGTGTACTTAATTCTTAGAAAGATTTCAGAGTTTTTTAAGAAAACAAATTTTCTTTTCATTGTAATTTTAAGTTTATTGTAATTTTACCAACCATTTACAGTTATCAATGCAACAAGAAAAAAGGTGGGTGTTTCTAAACTTAGTGATGAAAAATACCTTCAAAAGCAAAAATAATTTACAAAATCTAAAAACATTATACTTCTAAACATAAAATCCTATATTTATAAAATTCTAGATGAAGAATTATTTTCAAATTTTTTTCTTCAAATAAGTATACCATTTTGCCTATCCATGCAATTCTAACTTGGTTTCTTTCTATTTCAGTGTTTTAAAGTACCTTCAAAAACATAATTCATGTCATACATGAGTGGAAGATTGAAAACCCACTCTGTAACCTAAAGATCATATAAAATCTTTTATTTATACAGTTCCCCCAAAGGACAGAGTCAACAAGACTAAACGGCAGCCCTCAGAATGGCAAACCATCTTCACCAACCCCACATCCGACAGAGGGCTGATCTCCAAAATATATGAAGAACTCAAACACCAAAATGCCAAAAGATAGTATAAAACTTGGTGACAGCTCTGTCCCACACCCCATCCTGAGGCTGAGGGATTATCTCAGAACGGGTGGAGGCAGTGGGTGACCACAACAAAATTGTTTTCTGCACACAACAAGGCAACTGCACAGAAAAACCCACTTGGGCTCTCACAGCGTGCACAAGACGTGTGCAAGCTTAACCTAAACAACTGGTCACAGAGGGGAGACAAGCCCAGAGACCCACCTGGATGAGGAGTCTTTGGCAATTGGTAGCTCCTAAAAGAGGGAGAATTGGGTTTTCTTTAAGGGTGTGGTTTCCGCTAGGTTAACCACACACCTGGGGATAGACTGACTCTTACAACAAGGAGGCAACACACACACACACACACACACACACACACACACACACACAAGACAAGAAATTAGGTGGTTAGAGTGTGGGGGTAGAACCAGGAGGAGCTGAAGGCAGGGCATGAATCTGATGAAATATAAATGTGTGAAATTTGAACTGAATTGTGTGACGCTCTTAGTATTTAAAGATATGTTTTAAAAAGTTACTTAGAAATGAAAAAAGAAATATTGAGGAATGGATATACAGACTTAGACAAGTCTGAAATAAATATTTCTAGAGAGCATTTTAGATTTGAATTTTTTTTTGTCTTATCTGCAGAAAAGTGGTTTGAAAAGCTAAACCCTTGGGAGAAAACAGAGAGAGTTTTATTTGGAAAAATCCCCCTTTCTAAATAAAAGATTCAAGCATTCTGATGTAAAAGAAAAGGTATATTTTAAATGATACTGTTTTTTTGAACAACTTCCTGTAAACACAATTCTAGATTATGATTTAGGAGATCATCCCCAGCCTGCCACCTCATAGGCTGGGACAGTGTTCTTCCTGATTAATTCAGATGAATTGTCGGCTATTTTAGTTTTTATTTCTACACACTGTTTTCCCTCACTAATCTATAACATTGTATTTAATCATATACAAAATAGGGTTGCAAATTTTATACTACAACTTCAACTTGGATGGTGAGTACCAGTGAGATTATATACAACTGGATCAGCTTCTCAACTCAGATCTAAAGTGTGCGTGAAACTCCTGTGTATAGTCCTGTTTTCTCATTTCTTTGCAGGAGTTTTACACACAATTTAAAACTCTTAAAAAATACATTAAAGACTTCTGGGTTTTTTTTTGGGGGGGGGAGGAGTTCTTGGCTTTGTTTTTGGTTTTTTAGAGGGTTTTTGTTGTTGTTGTTGTTGTTGTTGTTTCTTTTTGTTGCTTTTTTGCTTTTAGTTTAGTTTTGTTTTTTTGATACAGAGTTTCACTGTAGCTATTGAGCGTGTCCTGGAACTAGCTCTTGTAGTACAGGTTGGCCTTGAACTCACAGAGATTCTCCTGCCTCTGCCTCCCAAGTGCTGAAATTAAAGGTTTTTTTTTTATTTTTGTTTGTTTGTTTTTTGAGACTTAGCTTCTCTGTGTTGCACTGAGTGTCCCGGACTCTCTCCGTAGATCAAACTGGCCTTGAATTTACAGAGATCCACCTGACTCTGCCTCCAGAATGTTGGGATGGATCAAAGGTGTGCGCTACCACTGCCCAGCAAGACTTCTATTTTTTAAAGTGGTGACTTCTTACATAATTTTTGCTTTGCAAATCACTTCATATCTGTTGGGAGCTGTGAACTCCCAGATCCTAAACTTTTTGTAAACAACT